TGTATATCTAACAATTTTTTTAGGTTACTTAAATTTCTTTTAAACTTTTTTGTTTGTGGTTTTTTCTGAAGGCTACATCTATTTCTTGAGGATTTGTTAATGAAGAATTCAAAGCACTTCTCCATTTTTTTTGCTGGCCATTTTCATCAATTTTATGTTTTCTTAAGAGCAACTTTGTCTATACATTTTCCAATTTGGATACTTTCCCTGAAGAACTTTCTGACCTCTTGGACTGACTTACATATTTGATCATATTGTTTTGCTCAAACAAGTTCTATTCATAATATCACTTAGTTGCGTCTGTTTGGGGTTGGGTTTTTTTTTCAATTAAACGGACCATTTCCACCTACGTTCAGTGCGTATTCAAATGCTTTGTATACTGTTTACCTTTTTAGTAATAAATGGCCTACTTTGTCAAATATACTGGATATATGTTATTCAATATATTTTGCATTAGCACTGAAGTGTTTTAGCATATATGCTAAAGTACTTAAAATGTACTCATAAGTACTTTTTTTTTAAGTACTTGCACTCAAGTAAATTTTACAGGAAAGTACTTTTACTGTACTTAAGTACATATTTTAGATTGTACTTAAATTTGTACTTAAGTACCTTTTTAAAATTACTTTTATAACAGCTCTGGGTATAAGATTACAACGAGCTGTGGGAAAGGACAGGAAAAAAGGATATATAAGTAGAAATAGGACTAAGAAAATGGCAATGGATGGGACATTGGGACACACCTTTAGAAAACCCAGTGGAAACATCACAAGACAGTCGCTGTCAGTGGAACCCACATGGAGCACGAGGCAGGGGTAGGCCAAGGGAAACACGGAGATGTGTGGAGGAAGGGATATGAGAGAGATGACAAATAGATCCAGTCCCCGTCCGGCGTCCAGTATTTCCAAACTAAAAGAGTCTTAGTTGTTATTATTATTGTAGTGTATACATGTTACTAGTCTATTGTGGTGTACCGTGAGTAAGCAGTACGCAATAGGGGAAGTTGGAAAGGGGGTCTCCCTTCCAACTTCCAAGCGGCCCCAGGCCTAGACTAGGCTTTCAGTTCACACATGCTAAATCCAGCCCCGTTGCAGCCTATCAACAGACTTGTATAAACTAGCCTTGGCTTTGGCTAGGCCTACTCCAGTACAACGCTGGTGGAGTGATGAAACCTCGTAACCCTCAATTTTTTCGAAATTCGTTTTTTTGGCTTAATGTCTTCTCCCAGTCCTTCTTCACAATGTGTCAAAAGTACAAGGTTAAATTAGTACGAGAAAGTATGAAAAAAAAACTTAATAAAAAAACCTCGTATGTTTGCCCCCATGATATCCTGGCGTGATGGAACCTCGCAACCCTCATCCCGTGCGCCGATCTGCTTTTGCGTGGTTTCATCACTCCCGGTTTGAAAGAGCGGCGTGCTTATACGAGTTTCTGGATAAGCCTTCTATATGAACTAGCTTAATTGAAGCACCCATAACTGACATTGTCTGGTGCATTTAGTGTATCTGACGGAATAAAGAAATATTTCATTCATTCATTCATCCTTACATTCATTCATTCTTTAATTCATTCACTTTATTTCAGTCAGTTCAGAAGTTCAAATATGGTCATAAGTGAAGTACTTACATTGTGTAAATATATTAAAAATCCATTCATTAGGATGACTAACGTGCTGGTAATCAAGATGTTCTCATCGAGCACAAACGTAGTTAGAATTTAAGTTAAGGCAACAGTCACACCTTGAAATGACAGGTGACGGTAGTCCTTACCAAGACTAGGTGACAGATCTGTGCACTCTCCTGATGTCAACAGGCCATTCTGTTTATCAAAGAGAGGGTAAGCTGTCGCATCTTCTCAGACTATTTTTAGTTTTAGTACAGGTTTTACGGCGCCCGCAACTGCATACGGTCATACGAGCGCCAAGGGTTGAATGTCAACAGAGAAGTCCTTACAGGGAATCAGACTTACTCTGCTCGCCTCTCTAGCTTCAGCAGCACAAAGTCTGCTTCGACTATCAAGGCACCCCGGAAATAGCGGGTCACAAGAGTGTGACAAACATACAGAAGAAGTAGAAGAAAATGACGATAGTAAGGATTAGGACAGAAAAAGCAGCAGTTCCCTGTTGTAGTTCAGGCACATTTATGAGCATGACATTGTTAGATCAGTCCATTTACAATTATACTGTGCACTAGAACGAGAAATGTCTCCCCCTCCCCTTTGGTAATGGCCTAAAGACATTTCTGTCAGTGACACCGCCCCGAGGGAGTCTCAGACTATGAACCCGCTGTGTAGTCGACTCCTCCAGTTGTGGTTGAGACCGAATAGTACTGAACATAACCATGGTCTTGATGACTCTGAAGTCTTTAGAGGACATTGTGACAAATTTGTGCCTCAACAACACAAGTACATGTAATACGGACATTTCCGAATCTGTATTGAATATCTCCTTCTAACTGTGCTCATCACCTAGATCTTTATACCCTACAAGGGCTGGGCAGACCACGTTCCATGAATTGACCCCACCCACCAGGTCGCAGTCCTTTCCAGGGCTGTCCCTGATATGTGGAGATAAGGAAGTATCAGCTTCATCCCAGACTGAGTCTGCACCAACACCGGTGTCGCCTGGAATCATACCCCAAACCATACTGACGTTTCACTAGGCAACTGTAAGTCAGATGCTGAATTATTACCTTCGAGGTCACAGCAACACGATCTGTAGACCAAATTCAGGCACCTTAGCCACTTTTCCTGGAGCCTGATCCCCAGACACAGCCCATTTGTGATGCCAGCATAAATGATGCTCCACAGAGGAAAAGAAAGGGTTTTTAGGAGTGGCAACAAATAAGCGAAAAGCTATCCGTGGATCAGGACAGGATCGGAATACGTAAAGGTTCAATGAAAATCCCAGCTAAGTTATTGAAACCAAACTGTGGTTGCAAGAGCTGGACTTTGAAATGTAAAAGGCTCTCTGAAGTTGATAGACATTCTAATTTTGATTTAGTGTGGACCCTTTCATGGGATGACTGACTAGTGGACCTCGGAGGAGGTATTCAGAGACTAAACAGATAGGGAATACCTTCAATAAACACTTCTAAAAGGTGACCATAAAGTGCCAGTGTGTTAAAAGGTGTTCCTGAATTGAACTGGGTTGGATGAATGATTTGTAAGAAACATTTAGAACCAATAATTATCAAAGCAACTCAGATATCTACAAAGTATATGCACAAGTCTGCCAAGACCACGGGAGGCGGTCTCTCAACAGACCCGCCTCGATGAAGCATTTAAGCAGAATCACCTGTCGCTGTTCATGTCAAAGATATATATTATGTGCGACCTTTGCATCAGTCGTGAAGTTGACAATGTGCTGGAGGATCTTTGGAATGCTCACATTCTAGAAAAGGAGGCAGAGTGCAAAGAAAAGGAACGAGATAAATCTGAATCCATCAAATCCCTAGCCAGTGATGAACCTAAAATGGCCGTATTTTCAATGGATCTTCAGCATCAGTCTTACATTACAAAACAAAACTCGCTTTTCATAACTTTACGCTATCGGATGCTGCAACACGTCAGACTACTTTTTTACGTGTGTCATGAAGCAGAAGGGGGACTTATGGCAAATGAGTTAGCTTCATGTCTGTTGGATTTCCTGAAGAAAAAGCTGGACTTCCAGAAAACCATTATCGACAGCGAAAACTGTGGTTACCAATACAGAAATGCCACACTAGAAAATGTTTCTCTCAGCCTGTTTTCAACAACACATGGAAGCACAATTGAACAAAAACATTATATTAAATGACAAACACAAATGGAAATTAACAGTGTGAACTTAACTATTAAGAGATCGCTTCGAAAAACACGCATCGAGGTCCTTCAAGACTACCTTCATTTCTTCATGATGGCAAGAGCAAAACAAGAAACTTATCCAAAAAAATATTCGGATCACACATTCTTCAAGGAATATTCTAAGTGTGGAAGCTACGACAAGCCTATAAAACTAGGTAGAAAAACCGGTGATCCTATTGTCAGGTGTTTGAAGTACATCCCAGACATGAACATCCAGTTCAAGATGCACCTCAAATATGAATGGGCTGCCGTTCCGAAGGACACATAAACATAAAGTCCATCCTACCTCACCACTCTACACAAAACGTTAAAGTACAATCACCTACAGGTGCTTAAATCTGTTATTGCCAATATGCATCGTCACTTCATGACAATTTATACCATTAACATTAATGGTTGTTCATTATGATTCAACATCTCTTATTAAAACAATCTGTAGTGCAAACAGAGACTGTATTGCAGAGATTTATTTTGAATTTGTGCATTTTAGTAAAACTGGAAATAACCAGATCTAATCTTGGCAAATTATAGTGAAACAAATTGCATTAATAGCAATCCGTTTGAGGATTCAAACATAAATTCTGCAGGTAACACACATTTATTTGACTTCAGTTGGCCGGGAATTGAACTCTAAACCAATTGGTTTCGAGTAAACATCTTTATCACTTTGTGGCGTTTCAAAAAACAGACGCATACTGCAACCAAAATGAGCAGCGAGAAAACTCGCAACCCTCAAACTCTGTCCTGATGAAACCTCGCAACCCTCCCGCCGGCTGACTACGTGGTTTCATCACGACGAAAATGGTGTAATGAAACCTCGCATCCCACAGCGTAACCACATAAACAATAGAAAAGTTATTTTTATGTACTAACCACGTTTCTAACATGTTTTTATCTATCTGTACCAACTTTGGTTCATATAGGTCATTTTATTCAAGATTAAATCAGTTTTTTGTCTCTCCTGTAAAATTTTCCTTTCTGGGGTTACGAGGTTTCATCACTCCACCAGCGACAAGCAACAACATGGCTTGCTAGGCCTTGGCTCAAAGGCCAAAGAGGTTGAATAGGCTAGGCCTAAGCAAGCAAGGCCTAAAAGTCAATGGACTGAAACGATTTTCCTCCCTTCCTTCCATGGCCCACAAAATTACGGGACTTGGTTATTTTGACTTCCGGTTTACATTCGCTTTCGAAGAGCGAATTATCAATTTTGTCACAGAATGTCAAAACGACGAATCGACGTTGGTGACAGTATGTCTACCAACAAAAAGAACAGGTTGGTCTACAAGGAACAAAGCTAGTGTCTGTCCTCAACGTCTGATAGGAAATCATTCTCCGAATATTAACTGTTGTCTCAAGATCAGGGATAGAGATTTTATATAAGCCATGAAGTATGGTAACCTATTATCGATAGGAATTCATCTGTTTCTGCAAGTAGTCTAGAGATTCGGTGCATTTTCGGTAGTCCCTCCCCCACCCTTATTTGAGCCTAGATCTCTACGTTTGATGCACGGCAAGCTAAGATATCAAACCTGACAACTGCAAGTCATCAAATTACGGTAAAATCACCCGGTAATTTTACTCTAAATCTAGAATCTAGATGTAGATTTCTAGATCTAATCTAGATCTAGATCTAGATTAGTTAGGTCCAGAGTAGTAGCTTAGACCTAGATTCTACACTAGATTCAAGGTTGGGGAGGAACTCCGTAACTCGATAACGATTAACCTCAATGGAATAGATAGAGGCTAGAGGGTTCGAGTTTAAGCTAGGGGTAGGGTTTGGCCTAAGGAAGTGAGGTCCCTCTTCTTTATTGTGTTTGTCGGAGTGGTCCCCCCTTACAGAAGTCCTTCCCTCCCAAGGCAGGCAAGGTTTGGGTTTGGTCTTCTTATCTAGATCCTTGTTTCATCACAATCACTAATCACGTAGAGATTTGTTTTCCGTTTGATTTATTCGAGATCTGTGAGTGATTCTTAGTATCCGTCAAAACTCTTTACCAAATCTGAACATTATTTTACTCACTTCTACTTCTGCACTGTGACTGTGATGTCTCATGGCATATCGGAAGGAGTTCCGCAGAGGGTCTGCAGACCAACAACACTTTAAGAGGGGATATTTTGAGCGGGGTATACCGTAACCCTAACCTAAACCTCAACCCTCACCCTAGCCCTAACCCTAACTCTTGTAGGCCTATAGTTTGCTCAGTGGACCTTGCCTTGTCATGGTAAGTGTCAGCCCTCTGCAGAACTCCTCCCGGCATATCTGTGTGAGTAGTGTGAAGTGACAGTGACACTGATGAGAACTCCCATTCACTGACTTGTAGAATCTATTTCTAGATCTGGCCTCCTAAAACCTCCATAGATGAAAGATAAACAAGTGGGTAATGAATTGGAAAAAAACCCAACCATACTTGAATTTGAATAAAAGAACTATTAGTGGCATTCTCCAGTTTTGGCCCCAAGGGTAGCCTACTGGATTTTGGTATCAACTCAAATACTCGGTTTCAGTGTTTATCCGAAAGAGAACAAGAGATGCGTGTCTATTTTTTCAGTACAAAAGGAGCAATAATAGGCCTATTTTACAGGGGTTTAAAAAGTGGGCTTTCCCCCCTGAGCTTACAAAAACATAGAGGGTTTCGCTGAGCTTCAAACATCATATCGGCACGCGTGTCATAAAGTAATCGTTTAGAACCAGAAGTTATCGTCAGTGAAGCCAAAACCCACACTCTGTTATATTTATCATAGAGGCCAAAATCGGATTATCCCGAATTAGTGAGAAAGTTATAGTAAATTAGTAATTAGTGAAATGACGCAATTTCTCTCTTAACTTGTCTTTAGACCAGCATTCCCCACAAGGCGCCTAGGTCACTCAGCAGTCAGAGAGTATGCTGCGGGAGGTGCTTGAGTTTTTGCTGTGTGTACTGTGGGGGTGTGTTTATTGATAAAGAAAATAATAACGCTCTGTCTTTCGTAGCACACAAAGCATTTTATGTATCATATAATAATGTATTGCAAAAATACATTCATGAATAACCACCTCTCATAAGCTGACTATCATTACAAGTGGTTACACCCATTGGAAATAACCTTTTTTTTAGAAGCTATTGTTTCATGATCTGGGATTCGAAAGATAGCTCAATTTCCAAATGTTTTGCACTCAAAATTTTTCGCTCTTGCTGTGCATTGGCTTTCAAAATCGTTGAATTGGATTATTTTTGTCCGGCAGCATATTGTAAAATCAAGCTCATTTGAAAGGTTATGAAATTGAAAAATGGAAGTCTTGTTCACTGGTTGTTCTTTTGAGTTCCTCATGTGTAAATGGGTCAGTGTGTTCAAATTTCATTGGACAAACATCTAGAGCTATCAATTTACATGTTTGAAACGAGAGGTACGCCTAAGTTTTGAACAACTCAGACGGTTCTAGAAGAAGGCCACAGTCACACACATGCTCACACTTCGGCTGCAGAAATATGGGACCCGAAGGTGCTCGGTGTGCTCAAACTAAGCTGGTACCGGGCTGATTTTGGACCCGTCGGCAAGCGAGGGTGTCAAAATATGCTTATTGGTATGCACAAATATGGCCCCCGGGATACCAGGGTTAAAAGCAAGTAGTTCGGAACTCAGGGGTCATAGCAGAGAGTAATGGAGTATTCTCCCTGATAAATAGCAGTTTGAGAAAGGCTGAAAAGGCTGTGTGTTGTGGTCTTCAGTATTTACAAGCCAAGATCATGATATTTTACCAACAGGGGAAAAAGGTATTTGAGACCAAACTAGCTTTGACATACCCCCACCCCACCCCTTATGTCTTTGACCAGATACTCAGATCAAGATCTAGATATTCTTCTTTGTCAGTCCCTCAACTTGTTCTACTCTATGTCTCAAACTAAAATGCAATATTTGTGCCTTTTCTCCAATGGTTTTTCTTTTGTTTTCAGAGAGGAAGATGCGAGTGGTGACAAGGTTGATGAAAACAGTGGGAAACCTCAATCTATTTTTCAACAGTTCAATATACCTCGCCCGACACTGCAGTTGAACCCTTTCACAGGTAGGCATAGCTTGATAATGATAGTACATGCATAGATAATTCAGTCTCCGCTTGGTGGCAGACGGGGCAGTTCAGTTGTTGTTTTTTTCTAGACGTAATTCTTTTTTAAAATGTTACCAGATTAATAGTTTCAGAGGCAAATTCATACTTAGATGAGAGCTTTTCAATTGCTTCTTTTTTGGTTTGTCAGCTTTACATTTTTTTCATTCACATACTCCAAAACCTTTTTTTGTTTGACTGGAACAAATGTTCAGTGCTTCTGATCTTCCGTATTTTTATGGAAATCCAGACTTTCTGACTGTTCTGTACTTGCTCCCCCATTTTTATCCCCTCCATCCATAAAAAAGTGAAATAGAGTAGGGGTACTGAGATTCCTTTGCAAAGGATCCTTGGATAAGTTCTGGATATTTACAATAATTCTCTCGGCATACTAAGTTAATGTATAGAAACCTTCGTGATTGCAGCCCCCCAGACACACACACACACACACACACACACCAACACACCCCCCGAACTTTTTTGGCAATGTCATTGGAAGCACTCTGAATGTTTGAAAAATATATTTGGTTAAAGTCTGTACTTATCATCATTGCTTTTGCTGTTAACTCATGAACGAACTGTTTGTTTTCAGGACTACCCTTTACTCCAAGATACTATGAACTTCACAGAAAGCGCACACAGCTTCCTGTTTGGGAATATAAAGAACGATTCGTGGACATGGTCACCAAACATCAGACTATTGTGCTGGTCGGAGAAACTGGCTCAGGAAAAACAACCCAGGTGGCATATCTTACATTATTTTTACTTTTTACATGAGATCTTTTTCAGATGTAAACATGAATTGATTTGAACTGAAAATGTAGGGCATTTCTTTTTTTAAAAATAATTGTTATTGTTACCGTATTTCAAAATTCTACTGCCTTACAATCCAGATGGTATTACGGATAGATTATGACCAATAATATTGCTTAAAATTTTAAACAGTTGTTATATGATTAGGTAAGTGAATTTAATCTTAGCTATTTAATAAGGCCAATAGATTAAATTATTTTTTGAGTAACCCTTTCATTCAAGGTTGTGTTCACAAGTGCTTTTCTTCACTTACAGATTCCACAGTGGTGTCTGGAATGGGTAAGAGCTCGTAGTCCCAAAAAAGGAGTGGCTTGTACTCAGCCTAGGCGAGTGGCGGCAATGTCAGTTGCACAGCGTGTGTCAGAAGAAATGGATGTCAGTCTTGGTCAAGAAGTCGGCTACAGCATTAGGTTTGAGGACTGCACATCCCAAAAAACTTTACTAAAGTGAGTGAACAGGGTAGTATGAGCCTGAATTGTCAAGATTTCAAAATAAAGAGGAAAATGTTTCTGTAAGAATGTAGGATAAATTTACCAGAGTGTGAAAACTGGAACATACGGGAGTAGAAGTTTTGACATGAAGGGAATAGAGCTTGATTCTTGCTTAATTTTCAAGAATAGTGCGGAGCCCTGAATTTAAGTTTTGCAGCAGGGGGTGTGGTATGAGCATAAATCTACGGTTCTAAAGGGTCACTGAATAAGGAAATTTAGGAATGTTGTTCTACAGAAGTTGTATGTCAGTGGGGAAGCATGTCATTGTTTATCTATGCTCTCAGCCGTGAACCAAGACACTCAGAGAAGAATTTTACTGTTATGTATTTAGAATTTTTGTCTAAATATGTTAAGGTCACTTTGAACATATTTTCCAGCGAGAATCCCAGTCTTCTTTCCTTTCTTTTTCTCTGCTTTGGTATCAATCGATAAAGTTGACTCACCATACCTTTGTACTGCTAGCCCACATTGTATAAATCCAGCGCTTCTGCTTGTGACTCCATTAATGCCAGCAGTGATTATTTGTTAGTACATGTTTGTTCTCATTTTCTCCTTACTGAAAGTGTAATGTTATTGAGAACAATTTCAGCACTGTATCTGTTTGGAATAAAGTTTATAAATATCATTTTTGGGTGCTTGGTGATCTGCATGTTGAGCCATATATGTTAAGATGCATGGTTAAGGACATGTTTTTCTAGGGCAAGCATTTTGTATACCATCAGTGTGATCTTATTCTTTTCAGGTATATGACAGATGGTATGTTGCTGCGAGAAGCCATGTCAGATCCACTGCTTGAAGCTTATGGGATAATCATGCTTGACGAAGCTCACGAACGTACTCTTGCAACAGACATTCTCATGGGTTTACTCAAAGAGGTAGCAAAGCAAAGGTCTGATCTGAAGATAATCATCATGAGTGCAACTTTGGATGCAGGGAAATTTCAGGTAAATTGATCTTTTACCCTACAAGCATGAGTTCTTATAACAAGTGGTGTCTTGGATTTCATGTTTTGGCAAGGAAATGTGAAATTCTTGAAAACATTAAATCCACAATGTCTATCATTTTCTCAGAGTTCAATAACTTATCAAAGGCATTTTTAAAAATTTACTGTGCATTTTAAAAAAATTGTAGTTTCTGGCTTTGATCCACCTCTCTCCGAAAAGGCATCTCCCAAAAGGCTGCTGCTTATGCAGCTTCTCAAGAAAGAAGAGTCCTGCTTTGTGGAGGGTTCAGGTAATGACAGGGAATTTAAAAGCAATGATTAGGATGATGAAGGAGAGGGAATAGATTTGTATTATAATATTGGAGACTGTGCTCGTGACGTAATTTCAACTCACCATGGGGCTCTCCAGTTGACTTTATTTGGGACACAGTGAGGACAGTGAGGGAAAGGTTGTGTGCACTCTCGACAATAGCGCGACTTGGATTTTAAAAGTTGTTTATCGGTTGTTATGGATTTTTCTCATCTATGCATTCAAATTGATTTCAAAATTCAAAATGAAATATTTACTTTCTTAAACCAGACCTATTTTGATAATGCTCCTCTGATGAGCGTTCCTGGAAGGACACATCCTGTGGAAATCTTCTACACACCTGAGCCTGAGAGAGACTACCTGGAGGCAGCCATTAGAACAGTCATACAGATTCACATGTGTGAAGAGATGGAAGGAGACATGCTTCTTTTTCTCACTGGTCAAGAGGTAATGCTACGTTTGAAAGGACTATTACTTCTGAATATGTAAATAAGGTGAACAGAACCCTGTTCATTGTGAGATCAGTTGTTACATGTTTATTTTTATTTAGTGATACTACCTCTTTTATCTCGTTTACTTTTTTTTCTCGATTCACCGTAAGTAAAAGTAAAGTAAAGTTGTTCCGGCATCCAATTGGGACATAAGGGATTGCCTTGTTAGTGAGACAACTTCCTCGGCCTTCTGCTTATTGGGGTAGGGTGGCCAGGTCCTTTCCATGCCGCCTTTACGTCCTGAACACGAAGTCAGGTACCCATTACTGCTGGCTAGGCAGGAGGGGGCTAAGAAAATCTGTGTCCGGACTTTCCGCTTCGGAGACGAGCGCACTAACACCACACCCTCTCACTCTAAGTACTTTCTATAAATTTTCAATTTTAGACTGCTTAATGAACTTGTATTATATACGAGATATATTTTTGTTTGGCTTTCTGTTGGAGTAAACTCTATTGATGCACTTTTAAAAAAAATTTTAAGTAATTTGAATTGCATAGGTATGTGTCTTTGAAAAAGAAAATTCACCATTATCATTTATGGTCTAAATACCTTTCATTTGAAACTACTTTTGGCATGTATGTTGTTACAAGCAAGTTAAAGGTACCCTATTTACAGGTTGCAGGTATAAAACTGAGTAATTTCATTTGTAGTTAATGAATAGATACACAACTGGGTTCACTTTTCCGTCTTTTTTCAATGTTTTCGAGCTGCCACTGTGAGATTTGGATAAAACCATACCTTTACTGCTTTTCCCCCCAGGAAATTGATGAAGCATGCAAGAGGATTCAAAGAGAAGTCGATAATATGGGACAGGATGTTGGAGATCTGAAATGTATACCATTGTATTCTACACTGCCACCAAATCTACAACAGAGGATTTTTGAGCCTCCACCTCCCAAGAAGCCCAATGGAGCAATTGGAAGAAAAGTGGTGGTGTCGACAAATTTAGCAGAAACTTCACTCACTATTGATGGTGTTGTCTTTGTGATTGATCCAGGATTTGCCAAGCAAAAGGTGAAAACACTGTTATTTTATCCCTGAACTTTTGTTAGGAGATGCTGTAAAGGGGAAATGCGATAGTTTATTTTCTGTCTGTTAAAGTGAAACACATCACTATGGGACTGAGAAAGTCACTGATATGGTCAGTTATATTCTAATGACTGATGTCATTTTGGTACCATGCCGTATCTCACTTGAGCTTGAGGTTGTTGTTTTTTTTTCCAAACAATTGTTTCACAATTTTGAGGCATATTGAATAGTTGAAAGTTATCTTATTGAAAAATTGCAACAAAAGAAAGAAAAAAATGGTCTCACAAAAGAAAAAAAGAATGCATATAATCTGATGTAACAGTTTTTATTTTATCAATAATTTGAAACGGCAATGTCAGGAAGTCTCGCAACTATCATCTGTTGAAATATTTTAACTGTATTACAGAAAATTACTGCCCCACCTGACAAAAACAGCAGCAGGAGCTCATTTTACTTCTGTGTGTGTTATGGGACATTTTCTGAGTAACACAGAAACGACATATAATATAAGCAGCTAATTATTTCTTAAGTATTTGATTGAGGTGTAAAAGCATAAACCAGGGTCCCAGTACAAATATTTTTCATAGTCGCGATAGTGTCATATTTTCTTTTAAATATGTCTGTCTAAAACCCACACAATATATTGTGCAAGAAAAAGATTTATTGCTACTGTTTGTTGAACAAGAAACATTAGACTGAAGAAGAAGCTGTTCTGTTTCCTACTTTCATCCAGTTGTTCGTTATATGAATTACAGCCCCTATTCATGGATCTGACAGCTTCTATTATATCATTGCTTAAGTCATAGCCTTCTAGATCACTATTAATCCTTTGAAACACTGCTAACATAATCCATTTATAGCATTTGCTCCAGTTCACAGAGCTATATTCACAATTCATGGGTGACTTCTCCGGGTTCGTTATAGCTCAGAAAAAGAGCTAACTACTGGCTTTTGGCTTGCGATAGCGTGTACAGGAAAAGCAATGACAATGTTGATTTATAATGCTTGTCCTGCATATACTTCTTGGGATCTGGCCATCAGGCAAGAGGTCACATCCTGTACTATAAATACATGGGAACCGTCACAAGTGCATTAATTTCCAAATGACAAGGTGCACCATTGATATGAATTTAGAGCATTGAGTGATAATTACATTAAAAACTAGAGTGTAACGAAAGACCTTGGAATGCATAGTCAGGTCAGATAGTGATAGTAATAGGATTTATTGCTTCTGCTTTCCTGCTATTGCTCTTTTTTTTACACATGGCTCATAACTATGTTATAAGATCACACTATCAATTTTTACCCCCACAGGTGTATAACCCAAGGATCCGAGTGGAGTCGCTGTTGGTGACAGCCATTTCTAAAGCTAGTGCTCAGCAGAGAGCGGGTCGTGCTGGTCGTACGCGGCCAGGCAAGTGCTTCAGACTGTACACAGAGAAGGCTTACAAGCATGAGATGCAGGAGAATACCTACCCAGAGATCTTGAGGTCCAACTTGGGAACTGTTGTGCTTCAACTGAAAAAGCTGGGAATCGACGATCTTGTGCACTTTGATTTTATGGATCCTCCAGGTATGAGCTTGAGTTTGTTTAGTAGTTATTGACTTCCTGTAATATTGGAACCATTGTCATTGACTTCATTGCTTCTACTTATAAATAAAGTGGTTTTTTATACAGAAATTGCACTCTGCTTACTTTTTCAGCTAAAATAATGGACTGAATTTGCCATGTACAGTACACATGGGGAATGTTTTTGTATTTATTGTTGGCCCAACAATGTACTTTCACTTGGCAGGACAATGCCATTTAGTGGTTTTAGCAGGGGATCCTTCACCTAACTGTAATGTCCCATTTGCAGTGTGTTCTCAATTCCAGATTCTAGTCTTGGAGGGTGAGAGGTACTGCTCATATTGTTTTATAATAATAATCATAGAAACAGCATGCTCTATGCTCTTTACAATTTATATTATTACCTCAGCAGACCCTGGAACACCCAGAAATATTCACAGCTTCCCAGTAAGCATGCAGTGCAAGTAACCGATAATGCACTCAAAAAACATTTTAAAAACTGACAAGATTTTTGTGGTCAGTAGCTGGGTACTCCTTCTTACCTTAATGAAGTGAGGAAAATTTGTGTATTGTACCTTTCCCATGGGCACATTGTCAGGCCTCTGAAGGGGTTTGAGCCTCGGCCTTTCAGTTGCATGCCCAGCAGCATAACTACTAAACCACCAACGCCACACACAACAGGTGCATGGGGAGAAGTTTCTGGTGGAATTCTGGTGAAGTGAAAATTTGGTTAAATATGTGGTAGTTGTGGGACAGAGATTGGAGCCTGTTCTCATCTTGAGAGATATTTAATGAGGACTTTATTCAAGTAAGATGAGTTGGACTGAAGGTTTAAAGTTTAACACAACTCTGTCCACATTTTGTGTAAGTTTTTTTACCAACATATATCATACATCGTTTACAGTTGTTGAAAACATCTGTTTTGTTGGGGATATTGTCACAACCAGCTTGTCAAAGTCAACCCATACAGAAGTGTTTTCTTGTTCCCACATTTTTTCTAGCTCCGGAGACACTGATGAGAGCCCTGGAGCTTCTGAACTACCTGGCTGCTCTAGATGATGATGGAGAAATCACAGAGCTGGGCTCCATGATGGCAGAATTCCCTCTCGACCCCCAGCTAGCTAAAATGGTCATTGCCAGCTGTGACAACAATTGTTCCAATGAGGTGCTATCAATCACTGCCATGCTGTCAGGTATGAATTAATTAATTTTTAAAAAAATAAAATTTGACCCCAACTTGAAATTTGGTCATTTATAGGGACTCTTTTACTGTTCTTAAGAAAAGGTCTTAAAAAAGAATGAAATTCTTTGACTGGCATCTTTGACAAGCTTTTGGTATTCTATGTACAGATGTGTGATCAAGACAGTGCGCTAGCCGCTTTGTTGAACTGAGGAAATTATACTGCAGATATGGTTGAACAAAATAAATGACTAGTGTGTTGTGTTTCTGAAGCATACTTTGTTGTAGGCCTATATGTCCGTACATGATGTATATGTATTTTTATATGAATTTTTCTCTTGATTCATAGTGGCTTGTGCACTGTCTAACATACTGGCTTTGTTTTAGTGAACTAATGGTGCTGGATGGGCCGTGTGGTCCCGCCATCTTCTCGTGTTTAGTCCCTCAGTGCTTTGTGCGACCCGTGGAGGCTAAAAAGGCAGCAGATGAGTCGAAGATGAGGTTCGCTCACATTGATGGCGATCACCTCACCCTCCTCAACGTCTACCATGCCTTTAAGCAAAGTAAGTGCTTGCTCTTTGAGATTATATTGTTAAAATTTGTTCGTGGTAAAGACTCTTTCCTTGTATTAGCTTTTGGGTTTGAAGTAAGCTACATTGAGGTTGAAATACAATAATAGTAATTGGATATTTACATTTTATAATCGATCCTACTGAATGTGGCAAGTGTTTTACGGGTATATGAAATTGAAAGCTGTCTTAAACTGACACAGTTAGGGCATTAAGTTGGGCTGTGATTGAATGAACCAGCCTTATGCTAAGCTGTTAACAGACTTATGTTTATCTTTCTGTGAGGCAGCGGCTGCTTGTTCTTGGTGTAGTAAGTCTGGTTGCTTTCACCATGGGAGCAAAATCTCCCACATCATCTTGGTAAAAAGTTCAGCCTTTTCTATTCGAAAATGCTTTATGTTAATTTATTTTGACAGACTGACTTGTGTTTCGCTTTTTAAGTACCATTTATTTTTATTTTCCCCTCCAGATCATGAGGATCCACAGTGGTGTTATGACAATTTTGTCAACTTCCGTTCTTTGAAGAGCGCAGACAATGTCCGTCAGCAGCTGGCTCGCATCATGGATCGTTTCAACTTACGAAGATCTAGCACAGACTTCACGTCAAGGGACTACTACATCAACATCAGGAAAGCACTTGTGGCTGGATTTTTCATGCAGGTTCGTACCTAATTGTTTTCTGAATACTTTTGTCCACTAGTCTCTTTCTAATGTTGAAATTGTCATTAGAACAGGCCACTAGCTCATCTTTTGTATGCCACAAGTCAACTTCAAATTGTTTTTCTTTAATATTGTGAGACTGTTTTGTGGTTAGCTCTGTTGTTTGTGTTCTTGAAGATGTAGGTAGGTTTTGTCGAAATGTTAGTGTGTTTGAAATGAGTGCCTTCATACTTTTCCTTACTCAACTGCTCTTGTCTTGTAGTTCAAAGCTGCCCTTTCTCAGAATAATTATCATTATATTCTATGTCGTCTACTTAATTTTAACGTTTTGTTTTCTAAGTATATATGTATTTATCAAATAGCAGTTAGAAATGGTCGTTTTCTGTATTTGTAATCCATCTATAATGTGTCTTTTTAAAATAACTCGTCAAATGGAAGTTGTTGGGTTGTTGTTGTTGGGTTGTTGTTGTTTTTTTTTGGGGGGGGGGGGGGGGGTTGTCTTTTTGTTTTTGCTTTGCTTCAGGAAACTGATCAAAGTATGAATGGCACTTGGTTTTACAATGCTCTGCTGGTTTGAGTCCTGAAAGATGTTCTGATCCAAGGTTGCTAAAGGTGGAATTTTCAAGGCTGTCCTTTTTGCAGATCTCTTTAAATTAACTACATCGGGATTGGGGGGGGGGGGGGGATGTACTCAATACCATATCATACAGACAACTTGATAGTGAACACAAGTCAGAAAACTGTACTGGTACTGTACTTATTGCAGACCTGCATGTTTGCCGACAGTTGTCTGAAATCCGACAACCATGATCCGACCCGCGACCCGCCTTATGCTATCGCTAGGCCCACAAGTATTAGACCGATTGTTCTGATGTGGATTCTTTCAAGGCCTACTCCCTTGTTCTCCTAGATCTAGATTTATATAGATCACTAGAGGATTCATATTCCAATTCTGCTGTGTCAAATCCTATTATAGGTTGTGCTGTAATTGTAATGTTAATGTTGGTAAGAGTGCGTTTCATCAGGTGCGTAAATTATTAGATCTAATCTAGACTCAGCTGAGTCCCTGCCCTGTTCGGATGCGGATATCATTCAAGGCCTATTCCTATTCACTTGTTCTACTAGATCTAGATTTATCTAGATTACTATATGGAGGATTCACATTCCAATTTTATGTTGATATTGTATCAAACACTTTATAAAAATGTAGGCCATTATTATGCTCCTTGTTTGTTTTGGGGTGTGTTTTTTTTCCTTTCCATTTGGGACTTTTGCTTGCTTTTTTACTTTTCTGAAGGGCCATTGCAGGTTCTTTGGTACTACCTAAGAATGCAGGTCCCGTCTGTTTAGACTTGGCATCATCCACACAGAGTACTGGATATCGATACTGATTTAAATTTTCGGTATCGATGTTTTATCAGTAGCCAGTAGCCTACAAAATGGGCTGTAAAATTTCACTGTTTTTTTTATTTGACAGGGCAGCAAGAGGGGTTTCAGGAGGGCTTGCCCCCCCTGACCTAACAAAAAAAGGGGGGGGTGTCATAATTTGATGTTTTGCACTTACGTTTGATAGGCTATCTCTTCATTATATCAGTACACGCATCAAAAAGTAATCATTTAGAACCAGAAGTAGGATAATAGTTGGTGGGGTCAAAACTAGTATTCCCAAACGGGACCCACATTTTAAAGTAGTACCAGTTTTTTTGGGGTGACCCATCATGTACCTCTACAAGTGCTGCTGTTCTATGACACCCACACAAGCTCTTATTGGGGGGAATGGATTTAGAGCGGGGGGGG